AGAGAGAGAGAGAGAGAGAGAGAGAGAGAGAGAGAGAGAGAGAGGGAGGTAGGTGGTAGCTAGCAATAGGGGCACATGGTGTGCTGTTGGGCCTCTTTGTCGATTTGTGTGTTCTTTTTCTTTTTTATTTCCTTTCTTCTCCTTCTTCATCATTGTCTTTCTTCTTCCCGCGTGATGCGCTGTTTCTTTCTTTTTTGAAACAACGGGAAACTACGCCGGAGTCACAAGAACGAGTTATGATTGCACTATGGGCCAAGATACAGTTTCGAATTGCTGTTCGGGCAATGTATACAACCCAGCTTTCTGGCTAGGTAGGGTGCCCGAAGTTCAATTGCAAACTGTATCTTGCCCCATAGTGCATTTTTTTAAATTTAATTTAATTAATTAATTTATTTTTTTATTTGGGATAATTTGCGAAATGCCCCCATAAGTTGAGATATATGCCAAAGTGCCCCTCAAAGATGTGTGTACAGCGGAATGCCATTTTTGGCCGAAATCTTTGTGTTGTGCCCCTGTCAGGCGGGTGTGCAACTTCGCAATCTGGACCTCCCCGTTTGGGCCTTGGCCTTTTGCAATAGGGCCTAGGAAAAGTTGGCAAGTACTGGGGCATTTTGCAAAGTTGGACGGTACCCGGTAGGTGTATATTGCAAAGATGGGAGTCCAACAGACGCTAGGGGTATTTCACAAAATGTTTTATTTGTGAGAGGGGTACTGCTCTACTGTTACATGCTGCGCCTGCACACGAGGGCCATTTTTCAGGCCCTGTGTCCCTCAGGCTGAAAGCCTGAAAACCAGGGCCTACAGGCCCCGTGACTGTTCAGCCCGAAAGCCTGAAAACAGGGGCCTACAGTCCCCGTGTCGTTTCAGACTGAAAATGGCAATAGCCTTTTTAGCCTGAAACGAACGGCCATTTTCGGTCGTTCATCAGAACCACCGGCCCTGAAACTCAGGCACCGAACCAGGGTTTCGGGAACAGGCTATTCTTAGCCTGTTCTCCACGCCAGCCTCAGCAGCTGCTGCAGCGCCAGCCCCTGGCACACTTTGGCATTGGCAAGAGCAGCCTCCTCGGCCTGGCTCGCCCTTCAGGCAGTCAGGAGGCAGGCCGAGGTAGTACATAGGGACTTCCCATGCACTTCACGGGTAGGCAGGAGGCCATAGTAGTCTTCAGGATTCGGCAGCAGCACTCTGGAGGGAGCGCTGCAGGGTAGTAGTAGCGTTAGCCCTTAGTCTTCAGCACTGGGTGCAGTAGGTAGCTGTAGTCTCCAGCGCTGGGAGCCATAGCTAGGATAGCACTAGAGAGAGAGAGAGATTGGGCGGAGGCCAGAGGTACTTACCTGCAGCGCCGTTGCTCCAGCTTCGTCTTTGAGGTACCTGCAGCACAGCGCCAACATCACAGGTTAGTCCTGGCTCGTAACAGAGAGAGAGAGTTCTTCTTCGTCCTCTTCTCAGTCCACCATCTCCCTCTCACCCTCTCATCATCTGACTTCACTGCATCTGCAGACCACGAGAGAAGAGAGAAAGAGCTTGGTGACATTGGACCCAGACTCGACTTTTGGACTTCAGACATTGTAACAAGGGATTATTTGGGACTTGTGACAAAGACTTGGTGTTGACGACATTCCCATCTCTCCCCCTCCTCTTCGTCTGATTCCCTCCTCTTCGTCTGTGTATGTCTGGACGTGGCGCTTTCTTCCTGTGTACAGCGCCAGGCTCCTTCACACCTGGTGATGGATACGATGTATGTTTGGTTTGCGTTCAAACATTGATTGGGCTAGTCATTAACGTTCTAGCATTCTGCTTCGCTATCTGATGCTATGTGAATGAGGTCAGTCCCGGTCAGGTCAGGATTTGTATCTAAGTCTTCCCTGCGCTATTCAGCACCATTGTGTATGTATTAGAATGCACATTGCTTGTTGAGATTCTACTTGCACTGCATTGTCCATTCAGTCCTTTTCATCACATTGCGGATCCTCGGTTTCTATGCACATCGCCCAACTGGGCATGTAACAGTTGGTATCGGAACGCCCCACGTGAATCAGGACAACCTGATCTGACACGTGTGCGGGGACTAGGTAGCTGATTAGTCTTATTGATTGATTAGAGCACACCAGTTAGCCCCCAAAATCACGATTTTGACATTACTGCCAAAATTTGATTTTTTTTTTCTTTTCTGGGATTTTGTTTTCTCGCTATTCTGTTGTAGTGCAACATCTGAAATTTCCATTTTTTTGGTTATCCTTCTGAAATTTCGAAATTTCGTTGTTAAAAATCCGGAATATCTTTCTTTTCAAAAATTTTGATTTCCTGTTGCTTTTGCGGTTACTCAGAATTCGGAATACCTTCGAAATTCGTTTTTCTGAAAACGGTACGGAAAATCCCTCCTGCAGGTATTATTTTCCAAACTGCGAATACTCT